CTACTCTTATTTCTAGCCCACATAAATCTATCCACCTTAATTTGAGCCATGTATGCCATAATCATAATAATTCAATATTATAAATAAATTATTACAATTGTTATGATTCAAGAGAAAGCTTAATACTTCCCCACAATTTGAAGGGATTATTTTGGGAGAAAAAGATAATTTTTAAAAAGGAATAATGAGTACAACCACAGTAGTCGAAGCCTTCCGAACACAAAAAGACTCTGTTAGAAGGATGAATTTTCTCTCCGTATTCTGTTACTGTTCTAGAAGGATCTAGGTAAACATGAGAAGAATGCAAAATTTAATCTCAAAAAATATAAGGGAAATTACCTTGATTGTATACATTGTCCCTTAAAACATGAAGACCCTACTATTATTTGAATCTAGTGATTTTTGGTGAGTCAAAAAGAACCACCAACTTGAAAAGTCCAAGATTAGACATCACGAAACTGCAGTGCCCAATAAATGAACCAAATGGATGGAAAAACTTTTATCTGTGGATATAAGTACATAAAGTGTACTTACTAAGAGAACACCAGAAGTCACTATGAAGAAGGGCAGTGAGAACACCAGATCGAAACCACCATGATAATACGCTAGGAAGAGAGGCTGAGACATAGCAAAGAATATCAGTAGCTGTTTGAATCTGGTGCTGTATCTTTTCTACATAAAACTGACTCAACACCACCCAGTGTTTATGTTCCCATTGCTTATTTTCCTGATGAAAATAATTCTTATGCCCCGAGTTAAGATTATAGAAACTCCACAATAAAAAGATAATAAAAAATTAAAAAATTTTTAAAAAAAGGTAATATCCTCTATGGACATCTACTAGATTAATCAAAAACTAAGAAGAAAATTTTTGTACTTCCATTTATTTGCTGTCATCTATGATCAAATTCTTGCTCCATAACTTCTTCATGGCACTTTTCACTTCTGCGTTCCTCAGCGTATAAATCAGAGGGTTGAGCAAAGGTGTTCCAAGGGTATAAAACACAGCTATCATCTTATCCATGGAGAAAGTGGTTGCAGGACGTGTGTATATAAATATGCAAGGACCAAAGAACAAAATGACCACGATGATGTGGGAGATACAGGTGGAGAGGGCTTTTCTCCTCCCTTCAGCACTGTGGTTTCTCAGAGAATGCAAAATGACAACATAGGAGAACATCAGGATAACAAAACTCACTGTACAGATGGCCCCACTGTTGGACGCCAAGAGTAGATTGATTATGTAGGTGTTTGCACAAGCAAGTTGCAACAAAGGCTGCAAGTCACAAAAATAGTGATCAATTACATTGGGACCACAGAAGGGTAAACTCAAGGCCAGAAAAATCTGAGCTAAAGAATGCACGCAGGCCCCTACCCAAGCCACAATCACCAACATACCACAGACTCTTCGGTTCATGATGGTCATGTAATGCAGAGGCTTACAGATGGCTACGTAGCGATCAAGGGCCATTAGGATCAGGACGAAGATCTCCAGGCAGCCAAAGAAGTGGAATGAAA